ACTGTGAGCGCCGGTTCGCCACCAAACAGGACCTCACGGACCACATGAACCGACACCAGAATATCCGAGAGATCTGTCCATTGAATGAATGCGCGAAAAGCTTTTTCGGAAAAAGTAATCTTTTGAAGCATATTAAATCGGCGCATAAAATGTGATCATTTATGTTATTATTGCCAATAGTTTACAATATTTTGTTAAGTTTTACTAGTACTGTAATACAATCTATTTATAATTTGTATTTAATAGCAATTGTTTGTAATTGAATGCTTTAGAAAATTAATAAAAATTGATTGTCAGTATGATTCAGATAATTATGAATACGGTACCTTGTTTTATTTTAATATAATTTTACTGAAAATTAAGTTTGAATTGAAATAAACAATTGAATAATACAGTACAGTATCTTTATAATTTAACCTTTTCAAGAGTTTTTCAATAAAATTTAAATATATCCAATTGGGGGAAAATAAAAAGTTATTGAGCACATTGATTGTCATTACTTTTGAGCCCTTTTTCCGCAATTTATTGATTAGAAACACAAACACTGTTTTCAAGCATTCATTGCAATGAGAGAGATGTGGAGAACATTCTAGAAATGTTGTGTTCACTGCACAACACATTCCAGAGATTTCCATACATTTCTATAGGATTCGAGTGCTTCACTGCACGGCATATATAAAGCACTCAACAGACAGTGAAACACACATTCAGTTCAGTGAAAGACTTTTGAAAAGTTTTCTCAAAAGCTATTAATAACTGAAAGTTAAGTAAACCTAATTGATCCTGATAATTGTAGCCTATATTCTGTATAATCTGAAGCAATGGCATTGAATATGTATTTTCCCCACCGATGCGGTCGTAACTATTGGGATGTCTGGGATTGGCCGCAGTCTGTGTTCGGACAACACTTTGGTCTCGATTTGAAAGACTTGGAGGAATGGATGGAAGGGTCGTCGAGAGGACACAAATCGAAAGAATTGGTGCAAAGAAGTGGTGAATCACTTGTGGGCAACACTTCGGACCAGTTCTCCGTACGTCTGGACTGCAGTCACTTCACACCCGAAGAGATCGAAGTGAAGACAGTCTCGAATTCAGTGGTAATTCACGGCAAACACTCCGAGAGGACTGACAGACACGGATGGATCCAAAG